TTTAGTCTCTCGAGAGGGGACGACAGTCGACTTTGCCATATAGACCAGCATTGAACAAAACAAAACAAGGTTTTGTAAATAACCTGTTGTGACCTAAAGATGGTGAGGAGTAATGTACAGCATTTGGTTGCATAAAGCCTTTGTCGTTAACATCCCGTTTCCAAGATGCATGCGGAAGATAAGAAGATGTGACGGGTGCAGGTCTTGAACAACCCGAAGAAGGTGCCGAGCTTGCCATACAGTTGTGAACAGCGAAGGGTGAAATTCGATCGATCAGAAGGTAAAAGACAGAAAGATAAACGTTTTGTTGATCAATCACGTCTGAGGGATACGCCCCGCATTTGACTTCCATTCAGAGTCGTAGTGCCGCAATTGGGGGGATGTGGCCTGTAAGATGGGTTACTGTGGCCAGCCGATGTACAAGTCAGTGCTTTCACCCTCTCGGACGAGTCTGTTACTGATTAATCGAGTCCAAAGGAAAGGGAGAGGGATAAAGGGAAAGGAAACTTCGTTTTTGGACATACATTTCTAATAGATAGCTTGTTTTAGCAGCTAGCATTGCTTGGTGTATGCCAATCCAATGCATAACCCTCTACGATCAATATTTCGCTTTGCTTCTTGATTTCCTTTCAGTACACCTATCACTCTAACCATTTTTTTCCAGTTGGTTGCTATATTAATGTCTTCGACAAGCGATTTTCTGATTTCGGACTAATTCCTATGCTGTTCTCGCAACTGCTACTGAGTGCCATAATGTACATTCTGACTGTTTTGTCTACTTCAAATTTGTCCACAATCGAGACAAATGACGATAATTCAATGATGATCATTCCAACGTGAGTTTGACACCACTTAGGCAAAAGAAACAGGCGAAATGTAGCCCATTGGCTTAGGATCCTGACGTCCTTCTGACTTTGTCATATCTATGTGGATCTTCAATCAATACCCGTATTCATTGTAATGGGTCAACAATAGATACGGCTTGGATGCAATACAGGCGAGCTAGTGTGATCCTGTATTCCACCTTCGTCAAATCCATGTGTACTCTAACGAATGTCCTGGGCGGGTATCGATCAGGGACTCGACTCCCGGGCCAGCGTGTGATAGTGACTACTTGCCACTACCGGAATTCTGAGCCTCCTCAATCACATTAGTATGATGGTATCGATCATAACAGAGAAAATGCCACTCATTGCCTTCCTTGCAACCCAAACACCCTATTTTTTAGACGCTATGAGAAATCGTACCTAATGTCTCTATTTAAGATGAGATTCTTTCTCTCCAAAACGGTAGAGAGGCCAATTCCGTGATTTTACTCAGAGTTCCTGTCCTGGTTATTATGGATTCGGGAAACGACCTAATTTTGCTACTACCCCTCATGCTCCTTAGATTTCTTCCGGATTTGAGGATTCGAGCCACAGTGAACTAATGTGAAGAAGCCTGAACTTGTGACTCTTTTCTCGGAGGCGAATCAACATAACAACCTCTTCGCCGCTACCCCTTTTTTCTCTCAATGAATCACTATGAGCTTTCTGAAAGAGAATCGATGTTCATAGAAGACACCATTCACTCATTTCAGTACAACGATATGTTGTGTGATCGGAGTTCTACATGGTATGATAGATTGTTTTTCATGCTCAATGCGAGCGGTTATTTGCACTATTGCTCTACCACGAAAAAGGCTTCAGGCCTACTCCTTGTCCAAGCTCTATCAGGTAATCACATATATATGTTATCAGTTCTACGGCATTCATCTAGGTTCTTCTGATTCAAACAACTACTTCATCGAGTTTTTCATGAGTGACCATGAGAACATAATATTCATGATTCACGATACAAAGGAATATTTTACAGTCGGCCGCATCCTGCACAGCATATTTTCTCTCGCCGTATCTCACCATCTTCTCATGGATGTTTCTTCTTACAGGTATTCCGCTACTTTCCAACTTGAAGTATCTTCTACTTCCTTTGCTTGATCACATTAATCGGTCTTTTCGTTGGTTATTCAGGAATGCAATGCCTGTCTGCGATCGGTTTTGTGATCGTTTCGAGGCAGATCACGTCAGAAAGCCTCAAGTGTACGGATGTGGATTTGAAGCCAGCCAAAGTACAATCAGTAGACAAAAGCTGCCCTCGGCCGTGTAAAGTAAAGGAAGGTGGATGGAGTTGAACTACGGGAGACCTACATGTGCATACATAAATCGTTAATTAATTTCACGTGCAATAAAACTGGATCTTGGGCATATTGAATGATGTTTTATACAGCTTCACCGTTAGGAATAATCAAAAGGAACCGTTCCACAAAGCTAATGAATTAGTAGCAAAACTCACGAGAGGACTCAACCCTTCTTGGTTGGTTCTTCCCAAGCGACAATACACAGCTGCTCTTCACCACACAAGCTCCTGACAGCAATTAAATCGTTTTATTTGACATCTAACATTTTGTCGTCGCGGAGTGAATGAATACTATCTAAAGTTTTTGTTGCTTGCTGATCGACCACTTCAACACACTGGATGAGTTTCATTTTTCAGAAGCTGAAACGCAAACGATCTCGGCCACGTGACCAACTTTCCGCGGTTCGGAGATCATTGACGTATACATTGGACCCATTGAATAATAGAGGGGCTACCCGCGTAAGAGAATAACGAGGGACAACTGGGACCTTATTTTTGGTGACACAGGGTCAAAAGATTGCTTCACTCGCTAACTTGTTCGTTTGAAAACAGTTTATACAGTGGTGTTAGTATAGTAGATAAGTGAAAGAGTGGGAATGAAGCAAGCAAAGTAAATCAGCAGATAGATCCCCCTGTGAAGGTTTGGCTACGCTATTCAGTTATCTAATGAAGTAAGCTTCTGAACACGGCTCACCATAGCACGATCACGAACTTATACATTGTCAGCGTTTCCCAATCTGTGAGCTCTGAGACACATGAATTTCCAAGCAAAGAACCGTCTGGATGCCACGGATGTAGTCTTATTTCATATCTAATTTTCATTTCATTTCATAATTTCATTTCTTACCACTACAAGTCTTTTTCCAGCGCTTGGTTCCACCGCTTTGTTATATTTCAGACTTCTTCAACGAGAGAATAACTGAGCGCTATTAAAACCGTAAGGGAATTGCATGAGATGCTGATGTTTTATGCATTTTCGGAAATGGGGCAAAGGCGCAGTTGACGATGATTTTGGTGTATCCGATTTTTAATGATTAATGAGACTAACAACCCAATATAGTGCAAAGGTAACGAAGAATACGTAAAAAACGACGTATTCAGAGAGAACTAAAATTAGACGAGACGTGGCGACAAAGGTTGCCCAGAAGGGGCGGGCATTGAAGCAGAGAACACCATAGTCATTCAAGTCGGATGCTTGCTATTGTTTTCATAACGGCTGTACATGGCTTTTTTCCTTTTCTGAATAGTTAATACAGTTTCAGTCTGGAATAGGATTTGCATGAATTATTTAGGTGATACTGATTTTCTTCCCTAGTTTTCTAGAACGTTATATTGTTGCGGCCGCATTTTTTCATCGGCTCAGACACCTCGATGGATACGTACCGAAATAAAAGGAAATGACAAAAATATACACTTCACAATGGGTGGGACTTCACATCTGCTGGTGAATGTTTATTTTTTAGCGTAGCCACTAAGCAACACATAGTCCTTCCTCTTTACTGCAAGAACAACCCGTGCATGGCTCTCCCATCTCATAAATGGGTTTTCCTTCGATGTTTCCACTGAAAATGGCCATTTGAAAAAAGTTTACGAAGGGAGGTCAAATACCTCGGATTGTACAGGCAGCCTATTAACATCATGTTGCTGCAAGATACCACTGCGCATCCAAGCTTGTGAGTGTCTTGCCATACCATCTGAGGGACTGGGTGATTCAAGAGATATCCTCCTAGAGTGGGCCAGTGGCGCCCACGGGCATAGTGGACGCCACTGATTCGTTTTGGGGCGATACCTCAGACACCTGTTCAGGTGTGAACTGCGTCTTTGAACATAGTCTCCTAAATTCGCTTGTAACCTTGGCCACCACCACTTCACCAATGGTTCTACTTAATTATTCGAATGATCTAAACGATGAAGACAATAGTGTGTGCTCCACTGGATTCAAATTTCATTAAACATCATAAGTAAATCAGCAAGTATTACAAATGTAGTGATTCTGAGAGGTATTCCTTGACTATTCAGTCCTCATTTCCAATTGCTCATTCTTCAGTAACCACTTGACTCATAAGCTTCTTAAGCTGATTATCATCCTTTTCAGCTGAGAGGGAACCCGGTTCGAAAGGGAACTCGGTAAATTGAGAGCATTTTTCACGCTGAAACTCAGACATCTTCAGTCAGCTGTGAACGAGCTGATGAAAACAACTCACAACATAGAGAAAACGCTGTGTGGGCTCCCAGACGAGTATCTTAGTCGGCTTTCTTTGATGTCGCTGTATTCGCACTGATGCGTTGTCTGAAAAACTGCATGTGTAGTAGAATTGTAAAAGCTGAAAACTTGAATACTTTGATCATTGGATGCGCTACGATTAAGCTCGGAAAAAGTCCCATTTTGTCTAATTACTTTGGGATCGCGATGTACTTGGGAAAGTTGATAAAGTGCTGAACTCGTTTTGATGAATCTCAGAAGATTTCCCTTGAACTGCAGCTACCAACCACCTTCAAACTCAGGAAGCAAAGACAAAATTGAAAAAGACGCTTCCATTTCAAGCGCCTTCCTATGGGTTCAGTCATAATTTCTTGTGTACTCTTCAGTCACATCAATCTTTTTAGGTAAAATCCTTGGGAATTTTTTGCGTTGCTTCTGATCCCTTCCTTGAGAGCTCAGCACTCTTCTTACAAGGGGATGATGAGCTTCTGTCGCGTCATTCAGACGACTTCAAGAAACACTGAAACGACTCTCGCGGTGGTCCACCCGGTGAATACCGCGGCAACAGGAAACGAGAAGATGTCTATGATTAAATCTGGTCCCTCGTTATAGTATCTTCATTGTCAACTTCAGCCCTCGTCCTTGGTGCTGCCAATTGCATCGCCCAGCTTCGACTCAAAGCGCAGTTCCACCTTCCATAGCCGCACCTCCACTACTTGTACCTATTATTCTGTGCCCTATCGCAGTCGGCTTCACCGATGCAAGGAATACCGAAGGTCCTATTCACAGCTGATGTGGGTTAAAATGGATGCCGAGGTACCGGGGGAGATTGGATGTCTCGCGTAAGCTCGAATAAGGAACGTATCTGCTCATAGATTCGAGTATGGTTGCTTATGTTCATTTATTCGGTGTAGTATTTTCCTTGTAGTTCTTGGTCACTCATCATTCGCTCACAAATAAGAACTGGATCTACTAAGACTAAACGATGTACATACCAAAAATAGCGAATCGATCTAGTGTTCTACACTCGAACCTTCATGGTTAAAGAGCCTCGTAAAGCGCGAGTACCTTTTGGAGGAGCACTAACTGCTCAGGCAACCTTAAAAGCATCGATCCTTGTCGAACTACTAGCAACTCACCACTGAGATTGATCATGCTCCGAATGGAGTTCCCAAACACCACTGATCTTGAAAAGAAACGATTGTCTCTTTTCTTTAGAGAGCTGAGCCGAGCGTAAGGGTCCAGTATCACTCTGAAGTACTTATTTGCGCTCTAACAACTAAATAGTGTTAGCTTGGTATGGTTAAACCCGGGGCAAACCATGAGCCAAGGGAGATCTTTGAGTTGGCCAACTAACTGACGGTGTATTAGGCATCGGAACGAGCTCTATTGTTCCTCGTTCCACCTCCAAGAGGGCATCACCGTTCAGAGGTAAATCGAGTTCAGCTTCGGTATTGTCCTGTAAGAAGATATTAGAAATTATTATTGCGATAATTTTTGTTCGAAACAATTAGCTTCGTCTGCTATTGAGAATCAAATGTTGAAATGCACCGTTGCAAAAGGGCTCTGAGTATCTGGGTCGATCCAGAATGGTTGCCCTTTAACGAAAAGAGCACCAGGGGTCCGCGCTTCATTGTGATTCTCATCGAGTATGTCCTTTTCCTCTGCGAAACTCTGGAATTTTTGGGGACAGTAGCCCAAAGCGGCCTACTGTGAAGCTAAAATGAACGATTATTGGGCAAAACCTACTGTTGACGGAAGCTGTGTAGATTCTTCGCTTATCCATTTCTTGGAGAAGACCTACAAATGCTGGCAACTGCTAGATGACGATAATCCCAATG